ATGGCGGCGGGTGGCGGGCATGGCCACAGGAAAATGAAGCTGAGAACTCACAGCCTCAAACAAAAGCAGGAAACAGAGAGCTGACTGGAAGTAGGCAAGGCTTTTTATTCTCAAAGTCCATGCCCACTGATGTATTTCCTCCAGCCATGCCACACCTCCTAAGCCTTCCCCAAACAGAACCATCAACTGGGGACTAAGTATTCAAATATCTGAGCCTGTGGTAGTGGGGGCAGGGAGCATTCTTATTCAAACCACCACAAATTCCACCCTCTCCTCTCTCCTGGCTTCCTCCTCAAAAAAAAAAAAAAAAAAAAAACCAAAAAAAAAAACAGACTAACATCAGCAAATGAGAGAGATTAAATGTCAGGATTTCATGTCGATATTAACAATCAATACCTTTGGATTGTTTTTCCCCCCCACCCCCCCCCCGGGGTAGATGAGATTCTATCACACCCTTCTTGTTCACATCGTTCATTCACTATTGCTGACATTCATTCATCATTGTTGTCAGTCATTCACTATTGCTGTCATTCATTCATTCACTATTGCTGTCAGTCGTTCATTCGTTATTGCTGTTATTCATTCACTATTGCCGTCATTGATGTGAACTGTCTTCACTTTTGAGTTGCTCTATGTGCTTCATTTTATGTATGCTAAAAATAGTTTGATATATATAAATTCAAGGAGATATTTGTTCTAAAAATATTATAGTGACAGAAAGACAAAATCAGATTGAGGACAGAATAAAAATTGACCTTCGGCTGTATTTTTAGAAGTTATGTTAAATGGTTCTTATTTAAAAACACAGTTGCATAAATCACTATATGAAGCAGTATAGTGTGAACCATTCGTGTCTTGGCATAAAACACTTGGAGGAGGCAAGGGCTGGGGGGTGGTGTCATCATTCTCTTCTTTTCTTTAGCCAAGGAATTTTCTTACTTTATGCTTTCCATCTTACCTTTGGCTTTGAATTCCTGTGCTTTCCAACAGGAGGCTTACATAGATGTAGGAAGGGCTCTAAAATGCTAAGCTGGTCACGTGGGAGCTTTCAGGTCAAGCAAGGGCTTGAGTTCTTTAGGGAATTGTCCTACCTCACCTCTGCAAGATACAGGTTTGGCCTGTTTGAATTTGTTGTAAAATAATGTGATGATTCGTAGTTAAAGGTCCATGCCCTGTAACCGTGGAAAAGCAGCATAAATGAAGGGCATTCGTTGTCTCCTGTTCATCACTGGAGAGATGGCTCAGCAGTTAAGAGCACTTGCTGCTCTCCCAGAGGACCTGGGATGGGTTACCTGCTCAACCCAAGTTCAGGGTGTGCTTTCAGTGGAAAGAGACTGCCCACGTTTTGCTGGCTGTGAAAAATCCTATGATTTCATTGGGATATGAATGAACTTTCAAAGATTTCAAATTTATTTCAAATCCTAGCGGGAGGTCAACAGCCTAGGTGCTTTTTTGACTTCCAGTTACAGATATAGAAGCTCACCACAGCAGCAGCCGCAGCAGCCATGGAGACAGAGCTGGCATAGCCACAGGCAGCCTGAGGAGTCCCCTGCCCCTTAGGGACATCTACTCAGATAAAGCAGGTCCTTGAGGACACTGCAGAGAGGAATTCCAGGAGGAACTGGCTCATTACAAAGAGCTTTAAAGAGTAACCACAATATAAAAATTAGTAAAGTTTTAGAAATAAGTAAGAACATATGGGCTGATTTCCTTAATATTAAAAATGAAAAAAATATTGAAGGTGAAAAAAATCTTAAAAGAATTTCCCTTTATAGATGAAATTATAAGGTGGTTTTATGACATGTACTGTTTATGTTATGTGATTAGAAAAGAGTGCTGACGTGGATAAACTCAAGGCTCTGAGCATCCGAGCCTTAAGTAAGCACAGCCTGTGTTTAACACCTTTGCTTAGGGTGTCCTTCAGAAAACCAGAGCCGTCTCTGCAGGCAACTTGTACCATTGTGTTGACATTTCTGAGTGCCCACCAGATTCCAGAGTGAGTCCATTCCTTCCCATTCTGCACCCCCCACCCCAGTTTTCTCTGTCCTCCTCTTCTGCCTCACCCCAGGTGACTTCTGCATACATTACCCAAATGACTGCTGTCATTCTTACTTCAGGGCTGCAGCGACCATCTCCTCCTCCCTCTGATGACAGGAAGAAGGGCTTCCTCTCACAGCAGCTCAGATGGACCAGATGGCCTATCAGCTGTGAGGCCCTTGTGTGCTTTATGAGATGCTTTGAGGCATGCTACAGGATTTTTCTTTGCAACTTAAACACGGAGCAAATCCAGACATCCAGAGATGCTGAAACGAAAAGGATATGTCTCCTCTTGCGCTGCCATTTGCCAAGTGAACGCTTGTCAGACAGCACATTCTATATATTTCGAGGAGACAAAGTCACCCGTAATGTGTTGGCAGAGGCTGTCACAGAGCATTCTGCAGTCCGTGGTTTAGATGACAGCGCACACTGAGGGTGCTGGTTTGCCTTAACAATTGTAAAGTTTTTCTGCTTCTTTTCTCTTTTGCGTTTTCCCATTGTACTGCACAATACAAGGGATTCTGTTGACACTGATAAGCAGCATGGCTGACAAACACCCGTCTTTGCTATGATAGCCAATATTTCAGATTCTCGAAGGTATCTGTCCTTGATAAAAGACCATCAAAATGGTTTTCTCTATGGGGCTCCTGTCAGTCATTTCCAGTTAACTTACTAATTGTGAGTGTCTTCCATTCCCTTGAGATGAAACAAATTATATTCTTGATAACTTGTAGGGATTCTCTGTTGATTGGACATTTTTATTGAATACAAGAAAATACATTCTTCTATGTTTTCTCCCCAGAATCTTTACAGCATCATTTATTTATGTGCAATAACTCATTTGTTTAGGGAATCTTCCCCTTACTCTTCATTCTGTGCTTGGTCTTGCTATTTACAATTCCAAATTATGACAAGTCCCTTCCCACCCTTCTGTGTGATTGTCAGATTTCTGGTTTATAGGCAGAGACAGTACACCAGCAGCTGCCATCAATGACTCCCTATACGCAGCTTTCTCTGAAGCAAGTCTCTGAGAGATCAGACAACCTTCTCTAAATTAATTCCAAGTGCAAGCATGCTGTCCCTCTGTTCTGATCCTGTGAGAATTTTGATGGATCTGTCACAGGCTTGCCCACCTCCTTTTCGGACTGCTTCCCAAATAAAACCTCAAGTGTGACTCTCATGTAACACCCCAGAGAAAGGGCAGCCTCCTGGGCATGGAGGAGGATCTCTCTCTCTCTCTCTCTCTCTCTCTCTCTCTCTCTCTCTCTCTCTCTCTCACACACACACACACACACACACACACACACACACACACACACACACACACACAGAGTTTCGTCTGGATTTCAGATTTTCTATCTGTTATTTTGTGTGACCAGGAAGTCTGATTAGATTGAGAATCTAGAATCGGGGCAGGTCAGCCCCTGGCTGGAAGGTCTAGTGGAACAGATGCTAAGGATGCTGCCTGTGTTTTCAACTTGAGAAGAGAAGGAACTCCTGTGTCTGCTCAGGGTTAAAATGCTGAGAAAGTACCACGTTTTCGTTAGTGTTAGAGAAATGCATCAGAACCTCTGTTTGAATTCTGAGAGTCTTCTGGAGTTTATCCCTGTGAGACTTAAAGGATTAGTTCCCAGAATGTTCACGGTAAGGATTTTGTTGTTTTTTAAGGAAAAAATAAGTTGCTTTCATTAGGAAACCTCAAGGAGCAGGAAGAAAAAGTGGTGTGTCTGTGAATTCTAATATGTATACCTGTTTATAATTATGAATTGAATCTTATACTATTTTGTCATTTATATAAGAAGAATCTTGTGTCAGATAATAATAATAATAATAATAGTAATAGTAATAATAATAAAGGAAGAGAGCTACTAAGGAAAGGCTTTGAATGTTGAACTCTGGCCTCCATGTGTGCATGCACATGTACACACCCACACTAACAAGCACACACATAAATGCACATGTACATACTCGAGCACACACACACACACAGCACAGCACAACCACCACCAGCACAACCACCAGCACCCCACATACACAAAACACACACACAAACTGTAAAATGTTAATTTATGTATGAATATATATTTTACTAGCTTAAAAAAAGTTCAGCATACTTTTGACAAAAGAATAAATCAAAAATAAAATGTCAGAAGATCAACTATTCAAAATAAGTCAAAAGATTAAAAAAAAAGATACGGCACTAGTAACCGTGATTCTTGGATAATTCATATTAGGTTTTGATGCATCCTTATGCAGTCAAGAAGCCCATGTGGGTTGCATTATTCCCCCAGTCATAGGTTATATTTGGGATAAGCAGGAATAGCTTATGTAAATCACAAATAAATGGAGTAAGGCATTATAGACGACGGTTCGGCCAGTAGAAGTGGCTGCCATGAAGCCAGACAACTGGAGTTCATTCTCTGGGTCCCATATGGTAGAAGAGAGAACCAATTCCTGCGTGTTGTCCTTTGACCCCTATACACATACTGTAGCATGCATGTGTGCGCGCACACACACACACACACTACATATCAAATAAAAAATTTAAATGTAAAAAGCAAACGAACAAACTGAAAGTTTTACTCAATATCAAGAAAAATTAGAGAATTTCTATTAATGTTCCCAATTTTCAATCAAAGAAATTGATCAGAACAGTGAAAAAAGGGTGCATATGATTTCTTTGAAGACACCCTACGTCGGATGCTGGAAAGGCAAATGGAAGTGGAAGGTATTTTAGACACACTGCACATCAGTCATATCATAGGAAAGGGCATTATTGATGCTATATATTCACAGGTGAGCAGAGTGATACAGGTGGGCATCAGATCACCAAGTCTGAATTTATTCATCAGTTTCCATGAAAAGCAAACTCACCAAAGGTTAATATTGTATTTGTTTTTGGGAAAAAAATGTTTCCTTCCTCATGGAATGCGTTTTCAGATGGACATTGTATGTGCTTTTAGGGTGCTGTGATCACACCCACCATGGACCACCCCATGTCAATGCAGCCAACAAACATCGTGGGCCCCCTGACGCAGCAGATGAACCATCTTTCACTGGGGACAGCAGGAACGGTGAGTGGAAGAGTCTGGTTTTATTTCCTAGGCCTTGAGAAGGTGCCATGTGCTGTTTTCACTAGCATTGCTCACATACCTTTCAGGTTCCAGCATGAACAAGCTCACATGCAAGTTCAACCTCAGGGAACACTCATTCCCATGGGAAAGGATGATGGTCTTGTGGCATCGCCTTTAGTTAGACTTCAGGTCCTCCTCATTATGTGGCATAGTGCACCAGGTACACCAAGTGCACCATGTGCAAGGTAGCTCTTTCTGGAAAGGGGCCCTTCTGCATTCAGGTGTAGATCTATACCCCGTGACCATATGCATGGAGCTGCTTTCCTGTCCCCAGCTGTTTACCAGCCAACCTGCTGTCATTCCCAAGTCCTTCACACCTAAGAAGCCAGTTCTAATTATGATTAGTATAAACGACTTTTTATTGATAGTCGATGTCTGAAGTAATAGGAAGTCACTGAGAAATTGGCCCAGTTGAATGCTTTTTATCATTCCTGGTGATGCACTGGCATAGTTACTACTGGAGAGAAGGAAGAGAATCTGATGTGTTTAATATTTTCTTACAGTTATGATGTTTTTGACTAGTCTTAATTCTCAAAAGTATAATGTTCTCATTTGTTTCTCTGTTGCTGTGTTAAAACCCAGACCAAAAGCAACATGGAGAGGAAAGAGTTCATTGGGTTTACAGTGCATCATCAAGGGAAGCCGGTCAGGAGCTTGAGGCAGGAACCTGGAGGCAGGAATGGAAGCAGAGTCCATGGAAGAACAATGCTTACTGACTTGCTCAGCTCACTTTCTTATATGGCCCAGGTCCATGTACCTAAGGAATGGTACAGCCCACAGTGGGCTGGGTCCTCCTACATTGACCAGCAATTAAGAAAATGTCCTGAAGACAAATTTACAGGCCAGTCTCATGGAGACAATCTTTCAATCAGGGTTTCTTCGTCCCACTTCCCAATGGTGTCAAGTTGACAACCATGATCAGCCATCACATGAACTGAAAAAATGCCGGTAGCACACTTGATCTTCATCAATGACATGCTTGAACTGACTGGCAAAGCTTTTTGTAAAAAGACAATTCCCTCTAATACTCATATCTGACAAAACCTAGAACACCAATCTTATGCTCCACACCATCAGAGAAAATGCCGGCATCGTGGACCACCAGCGGTCACACTTTAGTGTTTGGTGTATGCATTAGTGCAGGTGATTAATTTTGTAAGACATGGAAAAGAAACACATAATTTCTTTTATCTGAGGCAGCTTGAAGAGTGTAGAAAAACCTCAGGAGTAAGAAATCCTTTATCTAAATCTGCATTGTGCCATCGAGGACACTGTATCTAAGGACCTACATCTCCTCTCCTTAGAGTGAGATCATTCAGTTTGACATGAGTTCCTTAAGCCACACAACTTGGTGACTCTCACAGCGGCACTAGCATCACAGGTCACTGCTGATGTGCTTTATGTCCACTAGCTGTGGATGGAGGCCTTAGAACAATGACTCCAGTTACTCAAAGGGAATAGAGAAAAGAAGTTTCAACCCCAGAGAGTGTTCAATGGTCTTCTCTAAATGTGGAGAAAATCACAGACTTCCAAGAAAGAATTTCAGTTTTTCAGAAGCTACCCACCTGTTCCCCTGTAGCTACCCACCTGTTCCCCTGCAGCACACCGTTGGTGCTAACTTCTCTGCCTGAGAGCCAGAGCTGGGTCACAAGCACAGCATGCTCAGCTAGGTCTCAGAAGTGAGCTCTGAGGTCCCATTTAACCTTACACCGTGGTTCAGGTCATTTTCACTGGGGAGACAGGGTTTCCGGATAACATTCTTCCCGTTGTTAGTCAAGTGTAAGGATAATTTGTAGTCCCTTTGTGTATTCCTACTAAAGCAGATTCCAGATACAGAATTGCAAGGCCTGGTGCTTATGACATACCCACTGGACGTTTCACTACCTTTCAGGGATTTTTGTCTGCCAATGACTGTCAGCTGAGAATGAGTGAAAATAAAGGCAACTTTACTGTGTTAAATGACAACGTAAAGTGTGGTTTTTATTTCTTTAAAAAACAGAGTCATAATCAAAAACATAGGAATAAGTCCTTTGTACATTTTACCTGTTTGACTAAAATAAAGGACAGCTTCATTACTAACATTTTGTTTGGCAACTAGTAAAGACACACTATGCGACTGGATCCTTTACAAAACAGAAAAATAAAATAAAAAATATATAGAATAGGCTTCAAATTATTGTAGTTACTAATTAAATAGGTAACATAAAATTGTATATCTGAGACTTTTAAACAAGAAGAGAATCACATGGGACCACAACTTTTACCTAACTGGCAATGGTCAGAAATGATAATTCACGGATTATCATTTAGTTTAATGCTGTGGACCACTGCCTCTCTTAGCAAGTAAAGGATTTTAACACAGAGAGCTTATTTTTAATGTCAAATCCCCTCTTGCTTTTTTCTTCTTGCCATTGTCTGCTTTCTCTATTGCAAATAAATAGTGCTTATTTACAGTAAAAGTATCATATAACATTAATCATTGGCAATATAACATTAACATTAAAAGTTGATGATTTGATAAGGTTTTTGAAAGGCAGGGAGAAAATACTTTATGTTGTTGATTCATTCAAAAATAAAATTGAGTGCTCTTAGTGTGTCAAATGTAGTCATTAAACTATCACTCTCATGCTTGGCATGCTCTCATATATTTGCTTTTATGTTTTTTTTAATTGGTATTTGCTGTGGATTACCAAATTAAGGTTGATGTTTTTAATTAACTTTTTTCACCTATCTGGATCCATCCTGCACCTCTCTTGCTGGCACCATAGAAAATCCAGTGGCTTTAGGAATGACCTCAGAGTCCAAAGCATGATTTGGCTTTGTATGAGCTGTGCATGTTTAGACCAGGTCCCTTGACTTCCTAGGGATTTTACTTTTTTTCTTACAAATTGGGAAAACAATAACATGCACATCCCCAGGATGCTGTGAGTGTTAAATGGTGTGATACACAGCAGACCTGCAGACCTAATGTAACATGTGACAAGTCAGCACTTACCAAGTGGGCCACCCTTAACCTCTGATGGGGCCTACCAGGTGGGAGTCCACGTCACCAGAATGGATGTACCACCCCATTAAATCCACAATCCAACTCCTTTGCTTGCTCTATTTCAAGGGGTACAGCTTAATTCTTTAGCATGGCCACTGGGTTAACTGCCAACATAATATTCTAGGGCTCCAAAGCTAAACTCCTATTCACATAAATGAATGAACTCATTGAAGTTCAAGCAAATACCTTGAATATGTGGAATCAAGTATTCTCTGTATTTCTGACATTATAAGCAAAATCATATTATAAAAATATACATGGCATTGAAATTATAATTATCGGGATTTCCACATTAATATAACACCTCTGCCTGAGTGTTAGACACCTAATGGGCAGAGGTGGTACTTTCAGCAGCCAGTAATGTGAGAATCTTGTGTAGAGAGTAGGACCATGACCCATTTACCATCATCCATTGCCCCATGGGCTCACAGACCCAGGGTGGTCCTGTTGTCCAATTCATTTTAATATAAACTGACTGTATTTTGATGTGAAATATCCATGTATTTAGATATTTGGCCCCGTTTGCCCAGTGAACTCCCAATTTGTGCCTGGTTATCTACAGTTTCTCTCTGAACATTCCTCCATCCTTCCTTTTGCAAGCTCAGATAGCACCTCACTTCTCAATCTTTACATGCTTTCCTTTAGCAGTCTTATCCACCCTCATGGATTCCAACCCCATTTCCCACATTGAAGACTCTTAAATCTGAGTCCTCAATGCTAGTCTTAGAACATCAAACTTATCTCTGTAGTCTCCATGGAGATCTCTCTTCAACGTCTCAAAGTCAACACAACCCACATGCATGTCATAAACTTCTTTGAGCTTCCTTCCAGCCACACCCTTCTCTCTTCTGTGTTCCTGTCCTGTTTTATTTCAAGTTACTACTGTGATGATCTACCCTGTATCCAGACCCTACATTTGGGACTCAATACCCACACTGTCCTTCCTCTTCTCCATTTGCCATTACTTTTGAAGTCCCATGAATTAAGTCACAGACATTTAACAGATCAGTCCTCCTGTCCCCATTTCCAGCCTCCATCTTTGGCTTCATTTGGCTCATTGTAACAGTCTCTAAACTCTACTTCCTGCTTTCAGCCTCATTGTTCTACAACCCATTCTCCACCCTGTCATCTAAACTATGTGTTAGTTACTGTAGGTCAGTGTGATAAAACCTCATGATCAATAGCAATTTATGGAAGGGGGAGTTTGTTTGGCTTAGAGCAAAGAGGGAGTCCATAATGCCAAAGAAGGTACAGCAGCAGGTTTCAAGAGCAAGAATCAGTCTTGTCACATTTTTGTCTCTCAGAAGTTCAGAGAGAGAAGAAGAAGAGTGTTGGGGCTATAAATGCGCAGTGCCAGCCCCCATAGTGTTCTTACTCCAGCCAGGTTCTGTGTCTCTTAAGTTCCAAAACTTCCTCAAACAGCATCACCACCTGGGAACTCAGTGTTCCGATACATGAGTTTCTGGGAGATATTTCTCATTCAGACCAACATAGCTGCATACCAGTGTCTCTCCCCCACCTGTGAGTCTTCAGAGACTTTCAGAAATCTGCACTCTTGGAAACTTTGCAAAACAAAGTGTGAACAGCACAACACTAACAGCAAGGCGGGGAGCAGATGGGCTCCTAGGGCAGAGAGCAGTGAAGTTTGTGGGATAATTCAGAGTAGGTAGCCGTCAGGCTGGAGAGCAGGGGAGCTAGAGTAGAATCTTCCTTTTTTACAAGGTGCTAAGGCCACTCAGTGTCCACTTCCCGTTTAAGACTCTTAACTAAAGGAATTATATTGAACCAAAGCATCCTTTTTATCTTCAAAAAGGCAGCTATATTTCATCTCATATCACCTCAGATTTTGAAATGGGTATCATGTAGTTTAAAGAATTTCCATCTAGAATTTTCCTTTTCCAAGTGTGTTGGTCAATTCTCTATCCATTTCTAAGCTAACTGAATCTATGGGCTTCAAGCTAAATGAGTTTGATGCAAACAAGGGACCTATTCTATTTCATGGCTCTAACCTTGAAGAACTTTCTAGCTTTTCCTGCATTTGTTTACTCTTTCTCACAGAATTCCTCCAATGAAAGCAAAGCCCCATTGTCCATAATTTCTTATCAAGTTACTGGGAGCTTTAGCAGAAGCCACCCGGGACTTGAGTGTGTAATAAGAACCTCTACATTGCATGACAATCTTGTTTTACAACTTTCTTATCTCCTTTTCATTTGTTCAGCTGTTGGTCACCAGCGGCTTGCAATGCCACCAGGTTCTGTTGAAAGAAATAAAAAGATTTTGTTCTACAGGCTCCTTATCTCTAGTTCAGCTTGCCTTCCCCAAGCCACTGCTGAATTGTGACATGGTTGGATTTCCATGGTGTAATTATCACCACTCACAGAAATAATCCTGGAATTGTAGTCCTGCTTGGGCAGAGTTCACTGTCACCCTTCAGGCACCCCAATTCTCCACTGCTCTAAAAATCTGATAATTACCAGATGAAAATATGCATTATCAGCTTTTTCCCATCACTATGCATAAATACCAGTATTAAGATGGAGAATTATAAAAGTGAACGGAAGATCTTAAATGGAATCATGACTCAGTAAATAGTATCCTAAGCAATAAATAGCTTCAAGAATCCTGATTACTGCAATTCTTTAAGTGAACTCTCAAGAGAAAAATAGCAGCCAATTACAAACTAATCCAAGACGGAAAATGGAGATGCAAGGGTATAGTTTTTAAATATGAACTGTAACGTAACAGTTCCTTGCATGGAGACTTGTCCATGTAAATAATGATTGAAGAGTTAAGGGCAACTCTGTTGGGGGGCAGGTTTACTTACAAATATTAAATCTTTACATTTTATGATATGGATCTTGAGTTCAAGTAAATTGTTTTTACAGAAAGGTCCTAATACAGATAATGCCAAGGAACATGAGTGAGTTGAGAATAAAACAGGGTAAATAAAGCTGAATAATATGACTGAAAACTGTCATTGCTATAATTTAACAAATACACACACTCACAGACCACCAGGTAAGATAAACAACCCATGTATTGTTTATGAATGTGGAGGGAAATTAGCTTTGATGGTGCTCTCAATTGGTACAGCATCAGTAAGGAGAGCAAAGAATACTTCCTGAGGTTGTCCACTTAAAATTTTGAGAAGTTGGTGGGTATAAATAGTGTAAAGTAACAGAAAAGCCTTTGCTCCTCAAAAATGTTTGATACAGTGTTCTAGACAGTATTTAGTAAAGGAGAGTAATTAAATGAACTACGATTCATCCATAGGCTTAAGTATAAAAAGTGTGAAATCACAGAGTTTCATATAAGTAGGGTAAGTATTGTTGATAAAGTTGAGTCAAAAGAAAAGGCTGTGAACCTACACATGTGGAGAACAGTGTAACTGTGAGGGGTCACTCTTAAAATAATTCTACAGAGAAATACAAAGTTGTGGGGAGGGCTGAAGAGGTGGCTGAAGGGTTAAGAGTGCTTGCTGCTATTCAGAGGACCTGAGTTCAGTTCCCAGAAACCACATCAGGTGGTTCACAACTGCCTGTAACTATAGCCCTAGTAATCCAGTGCCCTCTTCTGGCATCCATAGGCACTGCACACATATGCACATACACACATAGATTAAAAATAAAATCAATTTGAAAAATATTACAAAACAAGTGTGTTTATTCTTGGAAATGAGATTGAAGTAATTTTTATTGAATCATTTCATTTGTTTATATTCCTCAACTGCTAAACAGTAGCCATTACTTGCTATATTAATATCTATGTTTCTATTTTTGTTACAATTACAGATATGCATATATTATGACATGGTACAAAAATTAACTCATTTTTATTAGTGTTTGTATAGTAACTTGAAATTTTACATTTTATGAAAAAGTAACTAGGAATTAAGATCAGTGTTACTCAAACCTTTGGAATTGCTTTCAAACTGATTCTTCTTTAGAGAGGGACTGATAGTCAAGTCACTAGGTTGCTTAACTATGTCAAAAGAATAGATCACTCATAACTGTGGCTTATTTGTATTTGAATTCTGAGCAGTACTTGCTTGTTCTTAGTGTCCTGAGTGTTTTACAAGGTTCACAGTCTTCTTCAGACATGCAATTTCCTCAAGAGAATGATTGGCATTAAACTGGGGGGGGGGGGCAAATTTGTGAATGGTCTTAAAAGTTATAAACAGGTATAAATATAAATTTATGGTTTAAGATTTTAAAGTGCACTACAGATCACATGAATGGAATAAGAGCTCACATGGGACCATCTATGCCTTAATCTTCCAGAGAGTTGGGAGTGGGCTTATTTCAGTTTTGAGAAGACTAGCAACAACCACAGGCTATGTACCACTTTCTTTTTTAAGATCCATGGCTAAGAGCTACTTAGGGATAAGAAGAGCAGGAGGGCAGAGGATAGGGAGCCAAAGAGTGTTACAGGATGGGGGGTGAATGTGACAAAAATTATTACGTGCACGTATGAAAATGTAATAAAGTCACTACTGTGTATAATTACTCTGTACTAATAAAAACATTGCAGAGAAGATGGTGAAGGAGTTGCATGCATTAAAGCCTCTTTGTCGTTTTTAAAACAGCTGATGTATTTACCCTCACACCCCACGTTTGCAATGACTACTTTAGCTTAACTTCTTTCCAGATCTGGTTACCTCCAATGTTATGACACTTTAAAAAAGCCATCCATCCTTTGTTCCAAGATCTAGGCTTGGTGGTTGCACACAAGGTTCCTGGGCCTGGGTGAAGAGTGCTCTGTGTTCTTCCCCTGGTCAGGATGAATAAAAATATAATTATAAGTTGGGCTTTATAACACTTGGGCCATATAATCCACATAGCATAAAACATGAGATTTTTCATTAATCTCCTTTAAAGTTACTTCTTTTGTTCTCCATTCCTACCACACTTTGGGTGCCCTCTAGATGCCTTAATCTTCCAGAGAGTTGGGAGTGTCTTAGAAACTCTTACAACATCTTGGAAGGGCAAGAATCTCCCACTGATTCTCAAAGGTCTATCAAATAGACCAAGAGGAAGATGGTGATGTTCTGAGAACTGGTCCTGGTAGCGTGCATAGCCTGGTGATAAGGGAGACGAACAGTCGACTGTCCACGAGGGTCATGATGCCTTGAGTACTTGAAGACAAGGGGCGGGGGCAGGTGACTGTGTGATGCACATTGGGCCCTTCCAACTTTTAACGCTAAGATTCTGTTTTTATTTCCTTTGGACTTCATTGCATTCTTTCTCATGCTCTTTTCATTCCAAGATTCAATCCCAAGACAGAATTATGGTACTTCACCAGCTGTTGTGTCAGGTAGGAAAATTCTAATTCCTTTCAGACTTAATTGGAGGGAGGAGATGGATCTTGTCTGGGTTTCTCCAGAACTCTTCAAAGCAGTGATTCTCAACAGGGGTGGGTATAAGCGGTTTGCATTTCATTTTGGCAAGGGGAGGGATATGTAGTTATGAGTCTATTTACTAGGACAATTTGGCTTTATGTCTAGAAGATAGATATACTGTCTTTAAAGTGAAAAATAAGATCTCAAAGACACTTTGTCCCGAAAGATATGCAGAAGATGTAGTTAATGCTCTGTGTATCGGTGGGGCTCACTGTTTGACAAGCTCACCAGAATTTCTGAAAAGTGGAAGAAAGATTTTACATCTATCAAAAAAAAAGCACATATTTATAAAAAGAGATTGAGAAGCGCTGCTTTAGAGACCAGAGTTCCTCAGAAGTCAGAAAGTTTTCCCATGTGCTTGCTTGGCTCCCAGGACAGAGTTGGAGATGTACACTCAGTTTGTTGAATGAATCAAATTTAATTTTTCCAAGATGTTATATTTGGGATATCAAAAGTGACCCTTCTGATATTCCATTTCACAGAAAGGTAGTGGAGGCTGCTTTGAGGAGACATGAGGCTCTTCAGCATTCAATTAGCAATATTGGATTTGTTTTGTAAAATTTAATGGTGTAATTTGGAGCTGAGTGTATGTGTGTAAAGAAGTTGGTGCTTTTAAAAAAACTTTGGAACTGCATGAATATTGCGCTTTAATCTTCATTTTTACTTTTGGTTTGTTGCAAAGAGGAAAATGGACACAGTTATTAATTTTTGTTAATTGATTTTAACTAACTAAAGAGTAGCAGGAAGCATGGAAAGCCTGGAGCTCCTTGAGCCTTTGGCATGTTAGGTGGTTAAGAATGCTCACACGGAACTGAAAAGGCCATTGGAAAGAGTGCATGAAACATAGTTCAGGAAATGCTCAAAAGAACACAGGAGACAGTTGAGTCTGGCAGCCAGAAAATGGCTTCCAGTGGAGAGCATCCCACTCAAGGCCACTGCACTTTCCTGATACTGTTTCTAAAAGGGCAGTGCTTCCTCCTGTCCTGTGGATTTCTTTAGTTATTCCCGTGGCTATACATTCATCTCAGATCTATGTGAATGTCATCATTGAAAAGCCAAGAGTTGGCTTTCAACTGGACATCGCTTTGGTATTCTTGTTCTCCATGGATTATCATTCATTAAAATGTCATGTGCCTGTTGTTCCCCCCTCCCCCATTTATGACCTACCATATTTTAATGTTTCTTTTGTGTTTAAAACATATGACACTGTAGAGGAGACTTGCTTTAGTATGAATAGCTTTTGCTTTCTTTAACCTTTGGCCTCTTTGTTTGACAGAAGGCTTATACTCACAGTTAACTAACATTAATAATAACAAATAATCCCTCAAGCAAAGATCCTTTCATCTTTAAGAACACAATGAATGCTGGCCATGGTAGTGCACACCCTTAATCCAAGAATTCAAAAGGCAGAGGTAGGCAAATCTCTATGAATTAGAGGACAGCCTGGTCTACATGGTGAGTTCTAGGCATCTATATGGTGAGACTGTGTGTGTGTGTGTGTGTGTGTGTGTGTGTGTGTGTGTGTGTGTGTGTGTGTGTGTGACAATGAATATAACAAGATATTAACACCCCCCCCCACACACACACACATCACAATGAAAATTGCAAGTCAGTTGTCAGAATTATTTACCTTACAATCCTAGGTCCTCTCTATACAAATCAATCTTGGCAAGAAATAGAGCCTAACCTCAGGAATTCCCATCTGATCCTACTGAAACTCTCAAGTAGATAAATGACTTGTTAAACATATTACTTTATAAAATGTAAGCATGTGAGTGTATGTTTGCGGAATAAGAAATAAAAACACAGAGGAAAATTAAAATCCAAGATATGGAGCATAAGTATTGACTTGGTCACTAGTGTGCTTACAGGAGGTCCTTAGTTCAATCCCACAGCACCCACATGAAAAAACCAGACACACAGTAATGCCAGCACTGGGGAGGCAGAGGCCGACCAATCTAGCCTAATAGGTGAGGCCCAGACCAATGAAATACCCATCTCAATATAAAATGTGGATGACTCCTGAGGAATGGCATTTAAAGTTGACCTCTCCCTACCACCACATGCATGTGCATACATGCATATATGCAACTGTACACATGTGCACACATGTAAACATGTAACCCCTCACACACACATATAAACCCAATATGATATGTGGCCAATAAAAGATATATTAAGTTGTCAGTAGTTGAGTACAGAGGAAGGACCAATAGAACATTCTTATGGAAACTACAATTTGGACCATTTTACACTTCGTTCCTCCTTATATGATTTGGACAGTGGTTGGACATATTTCACAGCTGTACCGTCCTTAGGTTTATGTCTAAATAGCAATAGATGTCTGTTCTAAAATAGTTGCTAACTGGCTGGTAGACAATTTCATTGACTTTTGAACAATTAACATGTCTTTTATCTAACTATTGACCATATTAGGAAAGCAAACTGAGCCTGATGAGGTAATAAATCTTTCCCAAGTATCTGAATGTGCCAGTATCAAGTGATTTAGATAATCAGCTTTTGCCAACATATGAGCCAACCAAATTGCTTTAATATATTGGAGCTCAAGATATTAACTCAATTATTCACAGAGATATAATCTATTCCATTTTCGTTCAACCAGTATTTTAAACATTACCAAACTATTTCTGAGTACTGTGCTAAGTGTTAAAGATGTAAATATGAATAGAAAGCCTGTCCTTGTTAAAAAAAAGTCAGTAGCATAGTTCAATTTGATTTTGCTGTTTCTTATGATGTTATTTGTGATAATATAAATTGTATAGAGAAACAAGAATATAGGAAGAGATTTGAGATTCAGAGTAAAAAAGTAAATTTGGAGAAGCATCAGTAAGGCCAAATAGGAGTCTACCCAATAGACTACAGTGGGGAGGTCTATTAGGCATATAGTACAAGATATGGCATCTCTTAGAATGGGAAACAGCATGAGGGTGTTGAATGACAACAAGTCCTTTCAATCTGAGGACAAAATGTGACCTTGGCGTATATCAAAGCTAGGGCTGTGTGGTTCTCATTTGGGTTAAGGACTCTTTGTTTACTCGGTCCTGTATCATCTTGGTTTTTTATTTATTTAATCCCTGTTGGTAACATATGCGTTAGCTTGTATTCAGTGCTGGGACTAGAAACTCTCATTAGGAAAGAAAGATATTAGTTATGAACATTTTATTACAACAGTATATAAATGCTTTAGTATTATATTTTCGACTCATAAATAAGATGCCCAAGTTCAGAAGCTACTTGTATCATTTTGAGTTGTGGACACTTGGGGAAATTATTGAACTTTCCATAGTTCATTACTTCTCTGGGGAAATACTAACCACATAAGGTGGTTGTAAGCATTTATTAAATTAAGCCGTATACTCTTAGAACAGATCCTGGCATAAACTAAGTGTTCAAATAGTGTTCGCTATAGCCACACTAATCATTATTGGCACAATGTATTATGTTAGTACAAGAAGGAACAATGGACATGAACTAGCAGAGGTGAGAGAAAGGCCCCAGGGAAAGAAGTCTCTAAACATAGAAACAAAGACATATGGGAATTGCCTAAGTAAAAAAACAGAGCTGAGTTTCAGACCAAGGAAGCAGCTGGTGCGAAGGCTTCTGGTAGCAGAGAATGAAAAGGCTGGGGAACTACAGATGGTTAGCAGGACAAAGAGATGTAGAGTGATGGGGAGTAGGGAAATCAGCCTGAGAAACAGGTCAGATGTGGCTGTATCCTCAGGTACAGTAACTTGAGTTCCATCCTGGTGACAATGGAAATGTTTAGAGTTGGAGAATGATATAATCACTCTGCTTATAGGATGGAGAATGTCAGGCAAAAACAGAAAAGGGCCAAATGCACTAAAGAATCTAAGAAAGAAATCACATTGATTATTGGTGAAATTATTAAGGCCACTCCACGTAGATAAAAGGAGATTTATTTAATGGCGTAACTTACAAATTAAGGGATAGGTAGGTCGCGGAGTCTGGGGAAGGTGTATCGCAGTCCAGCGGTGTTCTCTGGAGCTCTGCTTGGTACACCTCTCTAGTCCAGGGTCCCGCAACAGAGAGAGAGAGCCCGCCGATCCAGATCTCAGGTCCCCAGGCGCCTCCCTTGGCCCCGCCTTGTAGGTGTGACAGTTGCTGAAGTCTCAATGGGGGTTGGAACTTCCAGATCAAAGCTGGAATGGCTACCCACTACATCTCCCCCTTTTTGTCTAAATAAGAAAGTTCTAACCTAATACAAGACTATATACAAAGGAATGGTTATCAAATATAGTCCAGGAATAATGAGGGATAATGACCTAGATAAGATGGAACTACAACCAATGCAAACAATATCAAGCAAGAAACACATACTATAATCCAGAGAAGTATAGAGCATAGGTAAATGGCATGTTACAAAGATCATTCCAAAAGGTGTCCTATCCTAAAGAACCTGAATCTAATACTTAATATGTTCTATCTACTAGGTTGTAACTATAACTGCTAGTCTTCAATCCCATCAAAGACCTGAGAAGGAATATAATGGTACCTGAGAAATGGTAGATGGATGCAAGCAACTTTCGGGAATCTTGCGAGAGTAGACGGAGACAGCTGGCAGCCTGGACAGTCACCTAATGTTTCTCAGCATTGTTGGTGCATTCAAATTGGCTACAGGCCTAAAGTATCTGACAGACCATTTTTAGAAGCAGGAATTCTGAAAGACCATCTTACCCTGTCTTGGCAGAGTACAGTGGTCGCTTTCCTTGTGTCCCGCTTGTCCAGAAAGGATAGCATTGCATTAGTACTGTCAGCCGTCGAGGCAAGGGCAGTTCTTTGCCCAGTAGGCCATTTTGTGCCAAGAAGACAAACTTCCAAATGGAAATGTCTTAGAAGCCCAACATTCTCTCGGGATCAAATTGGTGCAGCCAGG